GTCCCCCCCGGGACCCACCTAGATCCCGTCTCGGGCTCGACCCGGCAATCTCTCCTCCTTTCCCCACCCTCTCCCGTACTCGGTCGTGAGGGGCTTTTCCAGGAGGGGAAATGCAGGGGGTCGAGTGTGCGTCTGCCTGTCGAGTTCAACGGGGACGACGTTGTCAGGCTGCTGACACGTGTGGTGCCACGTGTTCCAACCTGACGTGGCATCGATTCGTGGCTGGCGTCGCATACCACGCCTGTCCGTGTGCGATCGGATTTGGAAGAGGAGCGATGAGGCCAGACTGTGTTGGCGGTGCGAGAGTGGTTGGGGAGGGGGCGGGCGATAGAGATCGACTGCGGAGGTGGAGGTGGAGGTGGAGGCTGAGATGATGTTGACATTGCCGGAGTTGTGGAATTCCGGCGAGAGGAGAATCGGTTGGTGGGAATGGAAGGATCATTATTGATTTAACGGTTCTTTGATGAGCTTCTTTTGGTTTGAGCGGGGTGAGGGCATTAGATTTGGTGGGGCCCGCGAGGGTGTGGTGGGGGCCGGTTGGGTGGTGACGTGTGATGAAGAGAGGGGGTTGATGTCATGCTTTGGAAGCGGGGTCGTTAAAAGGTCCAGGACGGTTAAGAGGGACCGGCTGTCGAAATTATTGGAGCAGGATTTGCTGTGTTCTGGGATGAGCTCTTCATGCGATGAGAAGTCGACACGTGACCAAACTGGCCATGGGAATTTCTTATGGCTTTTGTTAGTTTACCATAAATATTAACATCATTATCACCTTTAAAAATGTGAATTTCGAAAAAGTCATCACTACTGTTAATATATAGCATATGCTTTGGGAAACTGGGATTAATGAAGCTAATTAATTAATTAATACTTTTTGTTTATGGGAACATATTTCTTAAGAGAAGAAAGCCATAAAATGACCTCTCTCTACTTACCTTCTTCACTTTTATAGTTTTATAGGTCACTAAATTGGACTTGGTTAATTAAGGAAAAATACTGAATTCATTTTATTTTATTTTATACTTTTATTTTGATTGGTGTAGAATTTACCAAAACAATAAATAGAGTTTAATTAGTGAAAAATAGTTAAATAATTTAAAACCATTCCATAATTGAGAAATGAATAAGGAATGTTACTTTGTATTATTCTATTTTAGTATATGTATATAGTTTATAGTCATTTTTTTATTTTGCTTGATAGTAGAGACTTATTTGGTTTCTGAGCTTAAGAGTTTTGTTTACTCAAGTACATATTTTCTTAGAAATTCTGCAAGTACAAATTTTATACTCAAAGGTTATATTTGATATTTAAAAAAGTCAATAAGAGAATTAACTATGAGAGCGATAGGACAACTAATTAACCCTTAGGCTGTGTTTGAAAACTATGATTTGAGTCCTAGATTTAAAATTCAGACTATTTAAAATCTAAATAACTAGTTTGAGTTCTAATTTAAACCAAGATTTCGAATCAATTCAACTCAAAGTTGAAAGCCCAAAGCAAAGGATTTCAAATTCCACCCTACACTTGTTATTTATCTAATCCCGACCCGACTGTCCTTTCATCTCTCAATCGTTTCAAGTCCCGTTTCTCTCAGCTCGCTCTCTCTCTCTCAGCTCTCAGGTACAATCTCTCTCTCTCTCTCTCTCTCTCTTTCTCTCTCTCTCTCTCTCTCTCCCCCGCGCCTCTCCCCCTACAGTCGAAACCCTAGATCTGATCTAGGGTTTAGATCGTGATCTTCGCGGCAAAACCCTAGATCAGAGCTACTACTCTCGATGTGATCTCCACTGATGGTGCTTCATGCAATCTAAACATTATTTTAACCAATTGTTTCTGATTTTTTGATGATTTTATTATGAACATGCATTAGCGTTTGATGATTTTGATGGAATCTTAGCTAATTCGAGTAGGGAGAGCTTTTCTCATCTCAAAGGTACAACCGTTTTTCTTTTTTATCTTATTGACGTAACAGTTTCTGGGAGCTTGATTATACTTAAAATTTAGGTTATATTGATATGTTTTTGGGGGGTGAAAATTCAAGTGATAGGTTGATTTTCATTTGGTTAAGATGGTGTTAGTGTTGTCTGCATATTTAATTTTCAATTGATAGGATTGTATGAAGGTGTAAAAGCATTTAAAGATAGCCTTAAGTTTATCCTTAGTCTCTCTTAATATGATCGTTTCAGGCTAGGTAATATCTTATTTTGTAGTTTCTGGGTTTTATGTTATGTGGGATAAAATTCAAGTTATTTTGGAGTTAGACCAATGGTATCATGTGACAAATGTTGCTGAAATTGCATAGTTGTGTTTTACATCAATCTGTCCTTTTGATACAGTTAAGAAATTGCAGTCTGATAATGTAAGATAATGTAACATATACGTGAATATTTAATTTTTGCTTGTTCAAGCGAATGTATTTTCCAATTGAAGTTGTTTATTTTTGGAGTAATCATCAATTGTTCAATAAATGCTTGCGTATGTTTAGATGCCAAGTAATGCCTAGGAGCTGCTGTTCTTATGCCCCTCTCCCCTCAATTTTCTAGAGAACTTTAAAATCTGACTTTTGCTGAGATTCAAACTAGGCTACTTTCAAGAATTACAATGTTTCTACTGACTTGCAGAACTCATTAATAACCTGCACACACACACACACACATATTTTGTTCACACAAATTTTCAATGCAAGTGTCTTTTGGACTATAATCAAATAAGCTATGAACATTCTCAAAGTTCAACAGTACTTTCTCTTCCAAAAGTATTACCCTTTTTTTTCATTTGGAAATAGAATACCCTTTATTAATATTCACACCCTCTGAATCCCAGAGGGTTACAAGTTTTATTAATTTTTGAAATAATACATCACTTTAGTTAAATTTCCGCTTAAACTGTGGGTAAAAAGGTTATTTACTGTTATGTGATTCCTGTGAACATCATCTTGAACAGGACATGCAAACACTAGGAGTTATAAGTGACTATGTAAATAAGCACAGACCTTCGTATTCAGACAAGTAGGAAAGTGAACACCGGCGTCATATTCAGGAAAGCACAAGAGAACGTCGCTGAAGTATACTGAAGCCCCAGGAAGAAGAGATACTGAGTAAGAGTAAGAGAAGTCCTGGAAACACAAATACACATACACTCACTACACTCTTTAATTCAATCAGGCACAATGAAAGAAGTAGCGTTAAGGCTTGTAACTCGAAGAATTTTAGAAATTTCCCGAGAATGGCGCTGAAGAAGAGATAGACAAAAATCTCTGAAGTCAGTTTCAGCCTAGTCTTCCACTCACTAAAATAGGCAACTGGAGCCATAAACAGAGTAGCAGCCAATTGTCTGTAAGTGATGATAAGTAATCGGTTCATCCTTTCATCAATCAATTTCTTGATCATAGTATTCAACATAGCTTAGGCAACACTAACTGCCAACATTACAAAAATTGGCTTCCAATCCTTCCAACACCCCATCTCAATTGTTAATTGGTCCTCAAAGAAACCAAGATATCAAAGTGTGGCTACTTATAAATGTGCAAAACTAAAGATATTATTCGTTACTTTAGAACCTATTAGCATTGCTGTCTATAACTTTTTAGACTGTTAGCTAAAATATTGTGTCAGAACGGGTTATATCAGCTCAGGATCAACAACTGTTGAGAACTCAACCAGCATCAGATATCTAGTGGGGTTCGAGCTTGTCGATTTTATCCTATAGGTACAACTGGTTGGAATTTGGATAGAACTTTTCAGTATCATTTCTTTGAGTAGCAAGTTCCTTTCAATTGATTAAGTGGCTTTTTGCTGGTAATTTGGATGATGGAACGAACTTGAACCATCTAAGCTCTAAGCTATATAAGCATCTAATCCTCTTCTCCATGACAAGACACAAGATTTGCAGACCACATTATTTACAACACATGTGGAATATTGAAAGGATTTGTATAGTATACTGACTATGCCCTAATCTATATAAGCCTTTGGCTAATAGTTCTCCACAAAGATATATTGGAATCAAGAAAATGGGACAGACTGTTTGAAATTGATAAGTAATTTGTTTAGACAACCAATTCCGAAAGTAATTTGTCCAATCACGTATTGTTCCATGAAAGTGGAGGCTTTCGTATTCAAAATTTTTTTGATAGACAAAAATGTGTTTGGCCACTACAAACAAATTACCCCAAATCCAAAAATAAATCAATCCAAATTCAAGCTGATCTAAAACCCCAAGCTTGATCCCAGCAACAGCAACACTGCCATAACTCCTCTCATCCCCCATTTCCTCATCCTCCTCCTCCACTTCCTCCTCCTCATCCTCCACCACCCTCATCCTCCCCTTCGCTGGCCCCACCGCCGGCATCCTGGGCACTGTCGTCGTCACAAAAATTGACCTTGTCGGCAACAAAATGTAGAACTTTTTATCCCCAATCTGAAGCAAATCCTAAGAGTCCAATTTCACGGGAGGGTTTCCGAGGAGATGGAGGACCCCCTCGACGAGTCACCCGTTCTTGCCGATGATGTCGAGCGCGAAGCGACGGTGTTGGAAGTTGTAGAAGATCCGCGCGTGGTGACGAGAGATGTTCATCCCACCGCCGAGGAGATCTAAACCCTAGATCAGATCTAGGGTTTCGACGGAAGGGGGAGAGAGAAGAAAGAGGGAGACCTAAACCCTAGATCCGATCTAGGGTTTTGACGATAGGGGGAGAGGAGAGGGGGAGAGAGGGGGAGGGAGGAGAGAGAGAGGGAGATAGAGGAGAGAGAGAGGTTACCTGTGTCGAGAGAGAAGAGGTCGGGACTTGGAAACGAGAGAAAGAAGAAGCTGAGTCCAGTCAGGATTTGGTAAATACCAAAGGGCAGGGTGAAATTTGAAATATGTCTATTTGGGCTTTCAAATTCATCTATCCAAAATAATTTGATTTGAAATCTTAGCTCAACTTAAAATCCAAACTAGAGATTTGGATTTGAAATACTCTAGATTTCAAATTACTCGGTGGTTGAATGCAAGAAAAAGACACAATTTCCTTATCTGATGACTCACCTACACATGAGTTGCATATCCCACCAGCTCCAAATTCAGTAAGTCTTTCATTTGGTTCAGTTATACAGTCCAAGAATAGCTCCAAAACTAACCTGTGTCCAAGGTCACAATAGTTTGTAACTTGAAATGGAAATAAATAAGAGAAGAAAGCCATAAAATGACCTCTCTTTACCTATCTACTTCACTTTTATAAGTCACTAAATTAGACTTGGTTAATTAAGCAAAAATACTGAATCCATTTCATTTTATTTTATACTTTTATTTTGATTGGTGTAGAATATACCAAAATAATAAATAGTGTTTAATTAGTGAAAAATAGGTAAATAATTTGAAACCATTCAATAATTGAGAAATGAATAAGGAATGTTACTTTGTATTATTCTATTTTAGTATATGTAAATAGTTCATAGCCATTTTTTTATTTTGCTTGCTAGTAGAGACTTATTTGGTTTCAGAGCTTAAGAATTTTGTTTACTCATGTACATATTTTCTCAGAAATTCTGCAAGTACAAATTTTATACTCAAAAGGTTATATTTGATATTTAAAATAGTCAATAAGAGAATTAACTATGAGAGCGGTAGGACAACTAATTAACCCTTAACTAAAAGAAAAGTAAAAATATAAAAGTAATTAACTGCATTAACTCTGGGACAATAAATGATCCTTGATCAATGCCCTGGGGGCGTTGGTTTAAAGGACCCTTTTTAGATTACTAGTTTCATATTGTGCATGATATGATACATGCTTGTGCGTAAGTAATGTTGTTAACAAATCCACTAATAGATATAAACATGTGTATAAAATACTATTGCAAAAAGTAAAGGGTCAGCATACCATTAACTATAAACATAGAAAATGAAGAAATTCATATGAAAAAATGAAATGCAGTGTCAGTAGATTTTATCCTCCTAAATTAGAAAAAGAAAATGTATACATATATTTGTGACCAGAAATAAATATCTGATCGGGCTTGGATGCATCATGCATATATATTCCGACCCGTACCCATTTCCAGCCCAACCCCCACGTGACCACGTCTCCTCTCTTCGTTCGGTAATCGCACGCGACCAGAATCACTCCTCTCCTCTGCTCAAAAACATACCCAACCTTTTCTCTTGCCTTCATTTTTATTTTATTTTATTTTAATTTCTCTTAATTCCTACTATCCCTTTCCTCTCTATTCTTCACCCTCTGAGCTCGATTAAATCCCATTCTTAAAATATTCCAATTATTTACCGAAAGGGGGTAAAATTTTCACACAACCTGTTTGTGTTTTTTCCCTGAAACAAAGACCCTGCGATGTTCACCAACGACAAGCGGCAGGTGGAGCGAACTGGGAGATCCGGTACTCCCCGGGCCCAATATCTTCAGGTTGATTTTGCTAATAATTTATTCTCTCTTTTTTTTAAAAAAATAATTCTCGAATTGTTTCAATTGGTTCAATTTTAATTTATGTGCTCTTTTGTTTTTCTCCCCCTTTACAGGAACTTGTGACGGAGTTTCAGAAGACCACCAGTGAAGGTTCTTTTTGTTATCATTCTTTTCGCTATTTACATTTTTCTCTTTCTCATTCTCCATCGTATCCGCAACTAGTTTTAATTCCTTAATTTTCTGTTGATTTCCTATATTTTTGAGACTAAAAGTTGTAACATGTAAATTGTTGAGTAGGTTTGTTATTTGTGAGGACATTAGTGATATTAGCTGATATAACCTGAATTTGTTTCTTAAACTGATATAGGCTTCCTACCTATCTACGCTAAATAAATACTCTAAGAATTTAAGGCAAAGTCCCCTTCTTAGACAAGATATCACCATATAAACAAAAAATATGCATTATGCATGGTATAAAGTTGCTATATAGTAGGAATCCTATCAGAACCACCCCTACAGGAGGGGTGGTTGACACCATTGATAGAATAAGCGCAATTGCCAAACTAACCATCTAACAACCCATGAATGATATAGATCACCCTATTCTACGAGGTGTTCTAATAGAAATTTGTTGTTATATTATACTACTGGATATGTCAAACTCCTATTAATTTCTTCATCAATCATCACACCTGGAGAACAAAAAACATTTATCAAGAGCTATGCACTTACTCATTCCTCATCGCAACGTGCACTTGTACATGAAACTGGTTCCTAGTTGAATGAAACTAAAAGGTAAATAAGCACTAATTTGTAAATCTCCAAGGTTAACCAGTGGAGATAGTAATTCTCACACACAGACACACAACATTGAGTTACTCTCTTCAAACATCCATTTCTTTGGTCCTGTTGTTCATTTATCGTCCAGAACAGGCGTGTGCAGATGCCCAAAAGCATCTTTAGATTATATCAGCACCCAAAGTGTACTTAATCTTTAGTCATTTCAGTCTGAATAATTAGTAGACCAAGTTAATTATTATTACCCTCACTTGTTAGCTTTATAGGATTTATGATTAGCCCTTTCCTTTTGTCAATAATTTGCTAATTTAGGAATTTGGCACTCAGCTGAAGATGCATTGACAGCTAATTGTAATTATTTTCTAAAACTTCTACAAAGGGTTTTGTTCTGTAGCTGAGCCCAGTTTGATGGAAAATGCATTAAATGGTGATTAGATAATTCCTTTATGCTGTTAATATGGGACATGTTCCATGTTTTAGTGTTTCTATGTTGTTCATTAAGCTCTAGTAATAAGGCTGCGTTATATATTTGTAATTGCATGTGCTGGTGCACTTTTCCATTGGTTGGCTAATTGGTATTTCTATTTCATCATGTTGCAGAACAGAAGGAGAAAATTGTTTCTCATTTGGCTAATTTTGCATATGACCCTTACAATTATGCATTTCTACGCCAGGTAAAAGCGGAAAATGTACTCCATTTCCTATTTGAACTTTATTCATTTCCATTTCAAGTTACAAACTATTGTGACCTTGGACACAGCTTAATATTTTGGAGCTATTCTTGGACTGTATAACTGAACCAAATGAAAGACTTATTGAATTTGGGGCTGGTGGGATATGCAACTCATGTGTAGGTGAGTCATCAGATAAGGAAACTGTGTTTTTTTTCTTGCATTCACCACTGAGTAATTTGAAATGAGAGCCTTGATGTTTCTTTCTGATTTCATAACATAAATGCTTGTTTGTGTTGTTATCCATGTAACTTTCTAAAAGGGGCCAATGTGAACATGGACATAGACACAAGTCCCCTACTAAAAATACCTCCCTGATTATGTCAACTGTTCGTTGTGTAGTGTGGAATGTCTGCAAAATGCTTTCCCCAATTATTGTTGTTCTCATCTATTCTTTATCACATGTTTACGAAGTTGTAACTGGAAATATCCGATAACTTGCAGACCCAGAGAATGCTGCAGTTATAACTCAATGTGGCGGAATTCCTTTGATCATACAGTGTTTATCTAGCCCAGTCAGGAACACGGTAAGTATGATATCGACATCTAAGCTAAAAATACCACCTTTGATCGTACAGTGCAAAATTTTCTTTTTAACGTTTTCCTCTATTATGCATTTACTATTTTCAAATCTAAATTGCAGGTTAATTATGCTCTGGGAGCTCTCTATTACCTTTGTAATTCTTCTACTAAAAAAGAAATATTGAAGCCTGAGGTCGTTGATGTCATAAGAAAATATGCTGCAGCTGGAGCTGTTAATGTGAGCTTCAGCAATCTGGCTAATGCATTTCTGGACATGCACGTAAATTAACAGAAATGATGGCAATCTAAAACAAGGCTGGTAACGAGGATCTTAGTCAGATAATTTTATTAGATTTGGATTCACTATCATCTTATTATTCTCAACCCAACCCACTGTTTCTTTGTCCTTGTGTTTGTTATCAGCACTACGGATCTTTTGCTTCTCTTGGGTACTAAACTGCAATTTATGTCAACTCATCATAAATATTTTCAAATTAATTTTAAGGACAATAATGCTATTTGGCACGCTGGGGTATCGGCAGGGGCATCGCGCGTCCTACGTGGATCCAGTCATGTCAGCAAATTGCTTTTGCTCTCAAACACGAGAAAACACCCATGACCCATCAGTTCCTCCGCCCTATTCTCTCTCCTCACTTCGGCGAATTTCTCATCTTCCCGGCGATTCGGGCGACCACTGTCGGAAGCACGCCTGCCGTAATTTCTCTAGGGTTTGACAAATTTCTCAAACTTTAACCTTTCAAGTTAGGATTTTTTCTGTAGAATTCTCATCTAATTTCTAGGGATTGCATGTTGATGCTTTAGATTTTTGTAAATTTCTGATTTAATTTTATGAATAAATTATTAATTAAGGTTTTTAAAGTTGAGTTTTTTTTTTGAAAAATCAACATCTAATTTTTAGGGATTGCATGTTGATGCTTTATATTTTTTGCAAATTTCTAATTCAATTAGATGAGAATTCTCATATTAATTAGATTTTTTTTTTTGCAAATTTCTAATTCAATTAGATGAGAATTCTCATATTCTGGCTGATGTATATATAGCAAAATTTACTGGGATGTAATATGAACTTACAGTATTTTTTTTGCTTACATCAGTTAAAGACTATTATATCCAAAAGAAAATTTACAGTAATATGAAATTTAAGTATTAGGTCGTTGAAAATTTACATCAGTTAAAGACTGTTAAATTATCCAAAAGAATAAGGATGCATATATTGTAGAAAATTTAGCTTCATCAGTTTAAAATATAGCTTCAGTTCATTAAAATAAATTTGATTGCTTATTCAGTTTCAGTCAACTGATTGTTCAGTTTCTTTGTTCAGTTTCAGTCAATTGTTTATTTAGTTTCTTTGTTCAGTTTCTGTCAACTATTTTTCTGTAAAGTTTATTGATGGTCAATTAATTTGAACAGCCATGACAGATATTGAGGAGTTTGATGATTTAGATGATGACGACTTGAATAATTGCTCGGTTGATGAGAGAAGTGAGTTGCCTCAGCACACTGATCAGCAGATTGAGCAGAATGAGCCTAAAATTAGGATGAAGTTTAATGAGATTGATGAATTGTTTGAGTTCTACAAAGACTATGCAAAGAGCAGTAGATTTCCAATTAAGAAACTATCAAGGAGGAAGAATGAAATGGGGATTGTTAGAAGTATAACTTTAGCATGTGGTCGAGCTGGCAAACATAATAGTACTTGTCAAAATTCCTTAAAACCACAAGCAAGCTACAGAATTGGGTGTAATGCAAAGATAGCAGCTAAGTTAAATTTGGACGGAAGATGAAAAATATGTGGTTCTTCTAGAGCATAATTATGGTCTTAGCTCTAATAAAAGTCGTTTCTTTCGTTGCAATCGAAGAATTAGTGCACATGTTAGACATCAAATTAATCTGAATGATCAAGCCGGAATCAAAATAAACAAAAATTTTGGCTCACTAGTACATGAGGCTGGTGAATATGAGAATCTGGTGTGTGATTAAAAGGCTTGCAGGAACTTGGTTGATGAATCAAGGCGTTTACGTCTCGGCGAAGGCGATGTTTCAACGATTATGAAATATTTTTCAAGGATGGTTGCAGAAAATTTAGGTTTCTATTTTGATATTGAATTGGATGATGAGGATCATTTGAAAAATGTATTTTGGACAGATGGTAGGAGTAGAGAAGCTTAACAAGAGTTTGTTGAGGTAGTCACTTTTGATACCGCCTACTTAACAAATAAGTATGATATGCCATTTGCATCGTTTGTTAGCGTTAATCATCATGAGCAATCAATTTTACTAAGATGTGGGTTGATTTCAAAAGAAGATACAGAGACTTTCATATGGCTATTTAGGATGTAGGTTGAATGCATGGATGGATGTGCTCCTCAAGGGATAATAACTGACCAAGCAAGAGTCATGAAAAATACAATTGAGATTGTTTTTACAAACACTAGGCACAATTGGTGTTTGTGGCATATAATGAAGAACATGTTAGAAAAGTTAAGAAGGTACACTGAATATGAAGACATCAGTTCTACCATGAAAAGAGTGGTGTATGACACACAAAGTCCATAAGAGTTTGAAAAACAGTTGAATGAAATGATTGACATGTATAGATTGGAGGATTGTGATTGGTTAGGTGAATTGTACAAGGAGAGAAACCGATGTGTTCCATGTTTTGTCAAAAAATGTTTTTGGGCAGGAATGTCAACTACTCAGCAACGTAAAAGCATGAATGTTTTTTTTGTTGGATATGTCAATTCAAAAACATGTCTGAAATAGTTTGTTGAGCAGTATGAAAATGCATTAAGATGCAAGGCAGAAAAGGAGATGCGGGCCGATGCAGGGTCATTTTCAAAAATAATAGCTACTGCAATAGCTTATGAAATGGAGAGTCAAATTCAGGGAGTCTACACTTTAGCAAAGTTTACAGAGTTTCAAACTGAATTCACTAGAAAGATATATTGTGAAATTGTAAACTGTTAGGAGGGAGCAAGGGTGCTTAAGTATATCATTCGGGAGGCTTTTTGGTTGGAAGGCGGCAAAAGGATTCATAAATTCTTCACAGTATCCTTTCGTAAAAAGGATTATGATGTTCAATGTAGTTGTCAGTTGTTTGTGTTTAAATGTATAGCATGTAGGCATATGCCCTTAACATTCTTATCCATCACGAAGTCAGCTTTCTTCCGGAAAAGTACATTTTAAAAAGGGGGAGAAAGGATGTGAGGCGAGCCCACTCGAATATGAATCTTCAACCGTGAATTTTTTTTAAAGAAGAAAATACGCTTTTGTATAATCTTCGAGTGAATTCAGCTTCTTAGATTATACAAAAGCATATTTTCTTCTTTAAAAAAAATTCACGGTTGAAGATTCATATTCGAGTGGGCTCGCCTCACATCCTTTCTCCACCTTCTTAGAATGCACTTTTCCGGAAGAAAGCTGACTTCGTGATGGATAATAATGTTAAGGGCCTATGCTTACATGCTATACATTTAAACACAAACAACTGACAACTACATTGAACATCATAATCCTTTTCACGAAAGGATACTGTGAAGAATTTAGGAATCCTTTTGCCGCTTTCCAACCAAAAAGCCTCCTGAATGATATACTTAAGCACCCCTGCTCCCTCTTGACATTTTACAATTTCACAATATATCTTTTCAGTGAATTCAGCTTGAAACTCTGTAAACTTTGCTAAAGTGTAGACTCCCTGAATTTGACTCTCCATTTCATAAGCTATTGCAGTAGCTATTATTTTTGAAAATGACCCTGCATCGGCCCGCATCTCTTTTTCCGTCTTGCATCTTAATGCATTTTCATACTGCTCAACAAACTATTTCAGACATGTTTTTGAATTGACAAATCCAACAAAAAAAGCATTCATGTTTTCACTTCGCTGAGTAGTTGACATTCTTGCCCAAAAACATTTTTTGACAAAACATGGAACACATCGGTTTCTTTCCTCGTACAATTCGCCTAACCAATCACAATCCTCCAATCTATACATGTCAACCATTTCATTTCACTGTTTTTCAAACTCTTGTGGACTTTGTGTGTCATACACCACTCTTTTCATAGTAGAACCGATGTCTTCATATTCAGTGTACCTTCTTAACTTTTCTGACATGTTCTTCATTATATGCCATAAACACCAATTGTGCCTAGTGTTTGTAAAAACAATATCAATTGCATTTTTCATGGCTCTTGCTTGGTCAGTTATTATCCCTTGAGGAGCACATCCATCCATGCATTCAACCTACATCCTAAATAGCCATATGAAAGTCTCTGTGTCTTCTTTTGAAATCAACCCACATCTTAGTAAAATTGTTTGCCCATGAAGATTAACGCTAACAAATGGTGCAAATGGCATATCATACTTATTTGTTAAGTAGGCGGTATCAAAAGTGACGACCTCACCAAACTCTTTGTAAGCTTCTCTGCTCTTACCATCTATCCAAAATACATTTTTCAAATGATTCTCATCATCCAATTCAATATCAAAATAGAAACCTGAATTTTCTGCAACCATCCTTGAAAAGTATTTCATAATCGTAGAAACATCACCTTAGTCGAGACGTAAACGTCTTGATTCATCAACCAAGTTCCTGCAAGCTTTTTCATCACACACCAGATTCTCATATCCACCAGTCTCATGTACTAGTGAGCCAAAATTTTTGTTCATTTTGATTCCGGCTTGATCATTTAGATTAATTTGATGTCTAACATGTGCACTAATTCTTCGATTGCAACGAAAGAAACGACTTTTATTAGGGGGCTAAGATCATAATTATGCTCTAGAACAACCACATATTTTTCATCTTCCGTCCACATTTAACTTAGCTGCTATCTTTGCATTACACCCAATTCTGTAGCTTGCTTGTGGTTTTAAGGGATTTTGATAAGTACTATTATGTTTGCCAGCTCGACCACATGCTAAAGTTATACTTCTAACAATCCACATTTCATTCTTCCTCCTTTGATAGTTTCTTAATTGGAAATCCACTGCTCTTTGCATAGTCTTTGTAGAACTCAAACAATTCATCAATCTCATTAAACTTCATCCTAATTTTAGGCTCATTCTGCTCAATCTGCTGATCAGTGTGCTGAGGCAACTCACTTCTCACATCAACCGAGCAATTATTCAAGTCGTCATCATCTAAATCATCAAACTCCTCAATATCTGCCATGGCTGTTCAAATTAATTGACCATCAATAAACTTTACAGAAAAATAGTTGACAAAAACTAAATAAATAATTGATTGAAGCTGAACAAACAGTTGACTTAAACTGAACAAGCAATCAACTTTATTTTAATGAACTGAAGCTATATTTTAAACCGATGAAGCTAAAAATTTTACAATATATGCATCCTTATTCTTTTGGATAATTTAATAGTTTTTAACTGATGTAAAATTTTCAACGGCCTAATACTTAAAGTTCATATTACTGTAAATTTTCTTTTGGATATAATAGTCTTTAACTGATGTAAGCAAAAAAAAAAAACGTAAGTTTATATTACATACTAGTAAATATTGCTATATACATCAGCCCGAATATGAGAATTCTCATCTAATTGAATTAGAAATTTGCAAAAAAATCTAATTAATATGAGAATTCTCATCTAATTGAATTAGAAATTTTGCAAAAAATCTAAAGCATCAACATGCAATCCTAGAAATTAGATGTTGATTTTTCAAAAAAAAATCTCAACTTTAAAAACCCTAATTAATAATTTATTCATAAAATTGAATCAGAAGTTTGCAAAAATCTAAAGCATCAACATGCATTCTTGAGAAATTAGATGAGAATTCTGCAGAAAAAAATCCTAACTTGAAAGACTAAAGTCTGAGAAATTTGCCAAATCCTAGAGAAATTACGACGGACGTGCTTTCGGCGGTGGTCGCTCGAATTGCTAGGGAGATGAGAAATTCGTTGAAGTGAGGAGAGAGAATAGGGCAGAGGAACTGATGGGTCACGGGTGTTTCCTCGCGTTTGAGAGCAAAAGCAATTTGCTGACGTGGCTGGATCCATGTAGGACGCACGATGCCCCTGCGCGATACCCCTACGTGCCTAATAACATTATTGTAGGCAAAAGGTACCATTTTCGTATGTCTTTTTATGAATTATATTTTGAAGTCGGAGGTTTTACTGATGATTTTTTTTCATTATGTTTTTTCCACACGAGCCAAAGGCTGAGACGAAGAACAAATGAAATGAAAAGAGCGGATGGAATTTTGGGCATTTTGTTGCCAAGACGCGATAGGTATTATCTATATCTGTTTTGGGGAACTACGTGTTTGAAGGAATGTCTGACCGAAGGAAATTGTTTGTTGAAGAGGTGAAGCTATCCTATGTAATTCTGTCCATGGGGACTAGGTGTTTGAAGAAATGTCTTAAAGCCTGAAGTTATTTGTTGTAATATGTAGTTGAAATATGTATTATGTTTATGTTTTATTTTATTTTTAATTTTTGTAGTTTGATCAGATTCTTGACCTTGTGTGCTCAAAAGTTCCTCTAAAGAAGGCTTTTTGAACATCTCTACTTTCTTGGAAAACTTGTGCCGAGGCCCGAGTATCAAAATGTCCATGTGACAAGGTCCTTTCACCTCCATTATGGCTTAGCTCCAGAAACATAAAAATAAAGCGTCGAGGCGCAACCACGTCACCCGTATAGCCCATATACACGATATTTTAATCGAAACCCTAAATTGTCCCGCTCATTTTAGCAGCGCATGCTTGCCTCTGATAACTGTGGCTATCAGATCATATTTATGCGATCTGATGGGAAAATTAGAGGGAAATAATGGTGATTTCCCTCCCTTTTCCTCTCTCAAGAGCTAACCTCTCAATTAATATGTTAGTACTTTTGTTCTTCAATAATCAATCCTCTTATTGTCCTAGAAATTTCCTACATTACTCCTAACTCCCATTCATTAATGGTTGAGAAAGTTTTTATCTGCATAGTGACCTTAGGTGAGAAAGCTGTATTCTCAATGATTAACTCTTTGATCACCTTTATGTATCTAGAGTTTGATGTGTCGGAGAGAATTTCATATGATTAGCTGTATTCTCAATGATTAACTCTTTGATCACCTTTATGTATCTAGAGTTTGATGTGTCGGAGAGAATTTCATATGATTCTTTGCCATTGATATACCAAGATGAAACAACGACAACATCAACTTTGCGATTGAGAGCGAAGATGATTTGCTATGTATGGGGAGCATAACTGCAATATTGGGTGTACATATATTCATATGCAAGCTATTCAAAATGTAGAGATTTCGACTTCTCATAAGAAAATCCACAAGACCTGTAAGTTATCGTTTATTTTTTATAAATTTTTTAATGAAATTTGTGATTTCAATTAAACAAGTGGTGGAATCATGAAAAGTTTGCCAGATACGTGACAATGTCACTTGTAGTTGTTAACTGTGAGCAATTCAGGTTAACAGTCACAATCACTTGTTAACTTTATGGATTGAATGTTAAGCATATGAGACAGTTTTTAAATTTTAGGAATACATGTTAAACATATGAATTATAAACTCTTTCTTCTAAGAAGTTATATGTTTTTGTTTTTATTTATTGTTTATTTTGTCTTTTGACTATTTTCCAAATATGTGAAACATTGTCCCTCCATTGAACTCAAAATGTAAAGATAGTGCTCCCACGTCTACATGTAGTTCAAATATGATTCCTAATGATACCCCATCTAGGGACGTGTTGTGATGATTGATGATATGATCAGCAATACAGAGAGGATTCCTACATGGTGGCACGATACTTTCAGTAAAGAAGGCAGTGCAAAAGAGTTAGAATTAGCTTTGATATACTATTCAATGGTTAAAAAGCTTGAGTATGAGTTTGAAAAAACGAACCAAAGCGTATTCAAGTTTTTTGTCGATTTAGTGAAACCAAAAGTTGCCCCTAGATGTTGTTTGCTTATTCTTCTAGAAATGAATATAGACTTGTTATAAAGAAGTTCATGAATAATCACACTTGTAGGCAGCATGGTAACAATTCTAGTCATTCAAGGGCCTCTCGATAATTCATCACGACCCCTATTACAACTCGTGTTGAAGGTTCAGTCTGACATCCACCCTATTAATGTGTTAAAAAAAATTTCTTAGGCAGTACAGCCTAAGGATTGAGTACAGTAAGCTATAGTGTGGGAGGTAAAGAGAGAGCACAAGAGTAGCTATATGGTGATGCTTATGAGGTGTACGGTCAACTACGATGGTAAAAGCAAATATTATTGTTACATTTAAATAGTATGCATTAAATATCTTCATTGCATGTTAACTTTAATATTTATTTTATAACTATTACAGTATGCAGACAATGTTAAGGAGACAAATCTCGGTAGCTACATTTACATTGAACAAAGCGAGGGAAGGTTTACAAGACTCTTCATTTGCTATACCGCTTGCATAAATGATTTCTTGAATGGATGTAGCCCCTTATATTTTGAAAATGAGACCTTTTAAAAGATCAATTCAAAGGAATACTCCTCAGTGCGATGAAAAACAGGAGGTATTTTCACTAGCCTATTGAGAATGCGATCAAGAAAATAACATCAACAGGAAGTAGTTCTTAAAATGCTTGTGGTCTATATTCTTTGAAAGGCCAGAACTATATAGTCCTCCATATTTTCTAGTTATATAATTCCCGAAGAGGATAAAGGAATTAGAGAAGCTGTTAGAGAATTCATTCTAGACGTGTTCAACTTCTCGTCGAGAATTTCAAAATTGAAGGATTTGGGACTGAAGTCGAAAGACACATAAAATTTGGGGAAATTATTACAATTAGCTTGTTACAAGTATACTAAAGCAGAATGAGATGATTATATGGAAGATATTAAACTGATAAATAAAAGGACACATAATATTATTATCAACTACGTTCCAGGGAACTCAAACACATTCTCTTCTGAAATTAGGTAGAGTATGTGCTTTCATGATATTCTTGTTTAGTTTATCTTATTTCCTATTTAGATTAAGTCATTTCCTATCAATGATACCACATTTTCTGTTAAGGTTAAGTCAGTTCATGTTAAGGATATTATATTTCATGTTAAGGTTAATTTATTTCTTGTGAAGTTTAAGTCATTTCGTGTTAAGTTTAAGTCATTTTTTGTTATTGATATGTTATTGCTTGTTAAGGTTATATTGTATGTTATAAAGTTAGGCTTTTTTTAAAGAATATTTAATCCTTATCTTATAAATTATTTTAGATATGGTCGCGTTACATCTAATGTCACTGAGTGTTTGTTGGAAAATTTGTAGTAAAAAGAATGAAAAAAATTGATTTGTATTCTCTCGATCTTAATTACAATTGGATTTCCTGATTACAAAAAAGAGGTGAATGATCTGGATTCCCCCCTTTGTTTAAGTCTAGGTTCTTCAAGGTGGCGATGGAGTGCCTCCTTCGAATGCTCGTGTCGAATTTGCTCTACGTTGACGATCTTCACATCTTGTTTCACTGGAACGTGGTCTTCTCCTCACGATTTGACGTTGTGAAGAACTTGCGTGACAAGTTTGAAAATAACTCTTAACGAGTTAATAACTCAGAGCGAGTTTTAGAAGAACTTGCAGAGCAAGTTTTGATCTCTGATCGAGTTGATAACTCCGAACGAGTTTGAAACTCTATGAAAGAGTTGATTTAAACGAAATCGGTTTAAAACCAATGATGAAGAAGCTCCTGTTGCCGATCTCTAAAATCCCAGCCGAAGGATGAAGGATCTTCTTTGCTGCCAAGCTTCAGATCCAAAAAAGTCAGCCTCCCCGATCAACCCAGCCAGCCCGAACTCCATTGAGTTTACCCCTATTTATAGGGGATTTAGGGGTGTAACCGCCCCCTTAAATCTCTCCTTGATAGGGTAGTGATCCCCACAAATCGTGGGGAGAAAATGGTTCTGGAACCGTTCAAATCGTGTTTGAACGAGTCAAACACTGAAAACGGTGTTCTAGGCCCGAACTCTGCATTTTAGACCTAAAACGCACAGTTGGGCCTGTTTTAGGCTGAAAACGCACAGTTAAGCCTGTTTTAGGCTGAAAACGCACAGTTGAGCCTGTTTTAGGTTGAAAACGCACAGTTGGGCCGCGCAGAGATGAGCTCTGCGTTTTGGACCTGGGATGCAGAGTTGGTTTCTGCATGAACTCTGTGTTTTGATGTTATATACAAAGGATGACCTCTGCGTTTTGAGGTTATAACGTAGGTCCGACCCGTGCGTTTTGATGTTACAACGCTGGTTCGACCTGTGCGTTTTGATGTTGCAACGCAGGTTCGACCCGTGCGTTTTGATGTTGCAACGCAGGTCCGACTCGTGCGTTTTGATGTTGCAACGCAGGTCTGACCCGTGCGTTTTGAGGTTATAACGCTGGTTCGACCCGTGCGTTTTGACTCTGTAATGCAGAGGTGAACCATAGGCGGGCTTGGCGAGCTTCAGGCTAAGTCCAATGTTTTGACGAAGTCCAGTCTTGCAGACGGACTTCAGAACATAACTTGCTGCGAAGAACAAGTCATAACTTTCAAACCGTAAGACGGAATTGGACGAATTATATATGAAAATCGGCTATCTCGATGAGACGGAGCCGACCAAACCAACCCCATAGGGTTCGGTTTGCTCCATCAGTTTTGCCAAATTCCTTACGGTTTGAGAGATATCTGCGTTTTGATTTGAAGAGACCGTCGATTTGTAGTCTCTTTTACTAGAGCGTTGCAAAGATCGTCATCTTGTAATCTTCATCTTGGCTCCTTAAAAATGTGAGAGTCGTCAGATTGTAACTCCCGATATTGATTGTGAAGGCTGTTGATTAGAGCTTTCATCAGTTGTTGCGAAGGTCGTCAGATTGTAACCTTCATCGATCCACGTGAAAGTCTTCAAATTGTAACCTTCTAGAAGTTATCAGATTGTAACTTCCATCATCGGTGTTTGATGGGGATTGGCTATCTGTTGTGATTTTTAGACAGCCTACACTGAGTCTTTCAATAATTGGATACGGGAGGCTTGATTGCTACGAATACTACAAATGGTAGAGCACATATAAAAATAAATTATAGCTCGCATGAACAATCGATGAGAGATGGATGAAAAATGGAATGAATTTCTTTGTTCCAAAGTTGAGAGATCCTTAAACAAAATATGGAAAAACGGGCACCCATTAGATATGCATCAATCCCATAAAGGATTATTTAAAGTAAAATCCCATAAAACATGCCAATTAGATTTGGCGCACAACACATGCATGTGCCATGCGTGGGAGTAAATCGTATTCCTTGTAAACATGCTTGGACAACTATCATGTTTATGAAGAGAGGTGTTTACGAATTCTACGTTTAGTTTATGTTAGTTGAAGCATTTAACAAAACCGTTAATACATGTCCATTTAAATGCTCTTGATGCCATATGAAAGGTTACAATGAAGCAACATGCAACGAACCTATCGCTGATTGATGGACCAAATTTATTACTATCAAACTTGTGGTTGTGGTTTGTTGGCTATTAAGTATTTTGCTTGTATTTGGCATACTAT